CCATGTCTTGCTGCACTTGCACGATGGGAACATAGAGCTCAACAATCTCTGCAAATATCATAGTGATGTAACTCGTCAAACTTTAGTCTTTAGTAACAAAAATCTTCACGCATTTGGCAACATGTTTATGATGCGTGGCTCCAGTAGAGTTTTGTTTGAAATTTGTAATGGGGAACTACGAAGAATGTTACCAAGGACAAGCTTTCCCCATCGTTACACTAAATAAATAACCAACGTTAGTGCATTCAAAGAAGTGTTCCTTACAATGATGCTTTGATTCTCTTCAAAGCTTCAAGGTTTGATCTTGCATTCTTGTACTTTGTAACCACACCATCTGCTTCAAATTACCATAGGACTATAGGAGACATAAAACAAGAGAAGAAACCCAACTTAAAGCTACAACCTTTTAACAAGTTTGTAAGCTATAAACATTCATGGTTAAAGCTCAGAAGAATAATGCAAAACTTGAACAATCCATGGATCTTTGGTGCAGTTCTAAGACTCAAAGCTTGCCTTTGTTCTGTACTATTATACTCTTTACCCTCTTGTAAGAAAAAACCCATCAATGGTTACAAGTTCTGTAGAAAACTGTAAAATAACCAGAAAAATTCAGTTTACTATGAGTTTATGCCTATTACGGAGGGTAAAATGATTTTGCTACCTGTTAAACCGTGTCCGACTTAAAAAAAAAGATAAAAAAAACTGTGGCCCGTTTAAATGGTCAACACAAAAACTGCAGCCTGTTTTTATGGTGTACACAAAGATTGCTTACCGTTTTAATCGGTCCAAACGACACCTCATTTGAGTCTTCGCATGAAAAAGGGAAAAATATACCTCTCTATAACATTGTGGATTCATAATAGGCGGCTCAAAAATCTTATTTGGCCCATACATATTAAACTGTTTTCATATAAATTTGATTAAAATTGGGCTATTGAGACACGGTTGAACCACTGGTTGGACGCGGGTTTAACGCGGTTTGGCACGCATCCCTAGGTGACTTTATGTCGGTTATCATGCCAAACCGTGTCTAAACCGTATCCAACCCGTGTTTGACCCGTATCCGGCCCGTGTTTGACCCGTGTCCAACCCGTTTTCTTTTTTTTTCCAAACCGTGTCCAACTTAGAAACAAAAAATCAAAAAACTGCGGCCCATTTAAATGGTCGACACAAAAGTTGCAGCCTGTTTATATGGTGTACATAAAGACTGCATCCCGTTTGCACCATTTAACTTAAATTAGGCTTCTTATGGGCCCCGCAAACGTCATCGTTTTCGAAAGGATAATGAAAAAACCCTTAAAAACCCCTTTGATTTCTCTCTCTCGACCACTTATCTCTTGTTGTTCACTATCTTTCAAACCTCCAAAGCTGTCTTTGAGAAAATCTACAACAGTCTTGTATTGTATTGATACTGCGCAGAATCAAATCTTGTCTTCGAAAGGGATCAAACCCATCACTAGTTTGGACGACATGGGAACGAACGATAAAGTTCTTCGTGGTTTTCACGATTACGGTTTCAACAAACCATCTTTCAGATTTTGTGTTTAATCTTCTTCATTAAACGTAAATGTACAATGTGTTCCCTTAAATACAAGATACTAAACCAGAATAAGAGTAAACCATAGCAAACCAACTAAGCCATCTAAACCGTTACACTACTCTCCTCTTCTAAAAGAATTAAGTTCTCCTAGTAGTTCCTGATGAACAACCTCTTACTACTTTCTATTTCTCCAATCTTTGTATGGACTTGGGAAAGCCTTTTTCGTGGAGGACCAGCTATCGAAAATGAAGATTACTATAAGCCGCGAACATCTCCAGACGTGAACTAGCTTCTTCTATGCTGCCTTTTATATGTTACTTTGGTTTGAATGACCCTGTCTTGAATTTTAGTCTTTAGTAACAAGAATCTTCACACATTCGGTATCAGGAAGGTTTATGATGGGTTTTGAGTTTGTTAAACAAGGTATAATACCCAATGCTATGTCACATATGTACATATGAACCAAACCAGATGTTACCGAATATATATATGGACCTACTTAGAAATATTTGTACACTGAAGAGCTCCAGGTTTCAAATCATGGGGATACCAAGCTCATTGGCAATGCCGATTCCCGCCATGAATTGTTCTTAAATGTTTCATATATAACAAGTCTAACCAGACTCAGCAAAAATCCAAACCAGTTATTGTAGTTTCTGTAAATTTCTATGTGGTTCAACGTTCAAACTTAAA